ACTCCTTGCTGGAATTATAAGGGCACTTTCAGGGTTAGGATCTTGACTCTGATGTATCATGTTTTGCTCTTCCCAGTGAAGTCTCACTTGACATTTGAACCACTCTTTCTGTTGCATTTTCATAATATTTATTATCTATACCATTTCTTTCCATACATTTTTTTTCCAATAACTTTAATGTTTATGTTTGTTTTTCCTTTCTTGAACCAGATCATGAGCTTTTTAAATTCAGGTTCACTGTGTTTTGGGGCTCCACAGCACCTGGCTCAGTGTTGTACACAAAGACCCTTAACTACCATTTTATTTTTTTAACAAGGAAGATTTTATATTTTGTGATGCATTTCAGAAAATCTTATGTTATAGGTAGCAACAATTGCAGAGACAGATGAGTCTGCAGAAACAGAAGGTGTAATTGATTCTCATAAACGTAGAGAAATCCTTTCACGAAGACCCTCTTATAGGTGAGTTAACTGTTAACTACTAGAATGATACTTTGTCCAAGAAGGTAGAAAAATTACATTTTTATTCTAATTTATTTATTTTTTTTGGTCCAGGGATTGAACCCAGTGGCACTCAACCACTAAGCTACATCCCCATCCATTTTTTTGTATTTTGTTTAAAGACAGGGTCTCACTGAGTTGCTTAGGCGCCCTCACTAAGTTCCTGAGGCTAGCTTTGAACTCCTGATTCTCTTGCTTCAACCTCAGCTGGGATTACAGGCATGTGCTACTGTGAAGAAAAATTACAGATCAAAGTGATTCTTTTAAGTCTCATTCATGCATCTTAATCAGTTATGTTGTTAAATTGTATTTTAGAAAAATACTGAATGAACTTTCCTCTGATGTGCCTGGTGTTCCCAAAATTGAAGAAGAAAAATCAGAGGAAGAAGGAACGCCACCTAACATCGCTACCATGGCAGTACCGACTAGCATATATCAGACTAGCACGGGGCAATACAGTATGTATGCTGCGATTAAATATGATACAGTGCTAGCTTTAAGTCTTCTCTAGTTATAATGAAGCAATTCTGGTTTTGGTATTAAATTGCTTCATTTTAAAATGCACCATTAATACCTAAACTGTATATCTTAGAATAAAAAGTACATGTTAAAGAAGTGAAAGATTTGTATTGATAGCTGTCATATACTTTTGAAAAGTAAAAATTTTATTGCTGAATATAGAAAAATTGGGGTTAAAAATAAAAGGAGAGTTTTTTTTCCTATTTATGTTTTATTCACCTTAAGTAATAGTTTGAAAGTTATTACTTTTTTTTGATCTTTATAATGAATGCAAATGTAAGATATAAATGTTTGTATTTTATTCTTTTGTTGGCTTTTGTTACCAACATATACTTACTAATCTAAAAGAGGTCC